AAAATAATGTACCTTTTTGAGTTTGCAAATATTTCAGATGGGCAAGTTAGCTGGTTCTTACTAATTAAGTTCTCTGTGAATATCTGTGCTTGTGAAAACTGAGTTACAGAAATGTTGGCCATCAGGTATTTCCCCACACAATGGCTTAAACAGATGAAATTAGCTACAGCAGCATTTAGTAAAATATCCAATTCCAAATAATCCTGTATCTTTTATTCATTTTCCTCCGTCCCCTCGGAAGTGTTATTTATCCTTCCATCTGATGACTCCTAAGGTGGGTGCTGAAACACTCTGTCCTTGCAGTTGGAGTTGAGAGCTGCAGATCACACAGCATCCCATGGTTTTCTGTGTAAAATACACTTGATCCCACAGCATTCACTTAGCTTGTCTTGACCTGCAGCAGAACGCTCCACAGGAATCTGTGATGTGGGGACGGTGCTGTCTCCATGGTTGACTCCATCAGACAACAGAAATGCGTATGTGTGGATCACATGCACCATGAATGAAGACTAAAAACTGCTCCACTTCACATAGTATCCGGTCATTTTAAATTTTTAGAACAATGCACAGCTAGAACGCTGTGTTGGGGTGGCACATTTAATACACGCCCTGTATCTGCACACCCTTGCCAGATGAGCACTGCTCAGGCGCAGTGTGCCGTGTACTTAGGACTGGATTTAAGATGCTGATGGGAGCGATGCCCTGGACGTGCCCTGTGCACCCTCTAGCCAGTGACAGTGAGGCAGAGGCACTGATCCATTTCCCCAGGGTTTCTCCCCCTCTCCCTATGGCTGCCTTGGGGTCCTCCTCAAGTGGACATGAAAGCTTCACTGAGGGGGGCTGGAGCCTCCGAATGAAGGACAGGGAGACCTCACAGTGTCCACCCACTCTTCTACCCCAGATTCACTGCTTCTTGCTCCTCGCAGGAGCACTGGGTCAGGACGAAGCCCAGCATGCAGCAGGGCGGTGCACACAGCACAGATGCCTCACCTGCTCCCATGCCGTGTCTGTCCACAGGACTGGTCTCGGGTAAGGAGGTGGGGAGAGGAAAATGCAGCCAGGAGCAAGAGGGGAAGCTGCAGCGCTGAGCTCTGGAGAAGAGCAGCCCTGCTGAGGGCAGCACAGCGACTCCTTGAAGGGAAACGGTGAGGAAGGGGCAGGGAGGGGCTCTGGGCTCCTGCAGAGACCGCATCTCCAGGGGGAATGGATTCCTGACCTGGGCCTCACTTCACTCCTCCAGGAGGACGGGGCAGACTAAAGAAATGAGGGCCAGGGCCCACGCAGCTAAGACAGCACAGCTCCTGAGAGAGGGTCCATGAGGTTCAGCTCTGAACAGTCAGCCCAGGGGTTGAGGTGCCCTTTGAGATGTGTTCATGTGGAGGAAGAAGATTGGATAAGCCCAGGGCATAATTTTTCTAGTGTATCATAAGAGAAAAGGCAAAATAAAGTTGAAATGTTTCCCACTGCGATAACTGTATTGCTGATGTCTGGTGGTGTACTGAAATGAACAGTTAATGATTGCAAGTTTTTATGTTCTGATCGATTGTGCATGTTTGTGTCTGGTGGTCTGAGCAACTGATCCAAAGGTAACAATATTCAATGGAATTGCACTGGTGAACTCCTACCATCTTGCCTAGTGAAACTCTGTATTATCTCTACTGTTTTATCAAAGAATTATTTTCTTATTCCCTATTATGGTTTGAGTAATCTTTCATTCTTACATCTGGTAATCTGAGCAACGTAGTTGAGGATAGCGATATGAAATATAACAAGCACTGTTTATTCCTATTATTTTGTTGTGAGGCTCTGTATCACTTTGAGTGTTCTTGCTTTGATTTGTTTATGTTCGTGATACTGGCATGCTGCTACTGTTCTATTTCTTTATTTTTTTCTCATTTACTACTCTCTTTAAAATAAAAACAGATAAATAAATAAATAAAAACAGAGACATTTTCTTGGAGAATATAGAAAGAAGATATCCATGAATTTAGGAACTAATTTTCTATGGAAAAACTTTTGGAAACTCCCTGCACTCTTCCTCATCCAACTCTATAGGTGACCATGTTAAATTGATTTTGTAATTACTTAAACTTTGCATATTTTATGTTATATTTGTTTCCCTAATAAAACGCTGATACAGGTATGAAGTTTTTGGTTTGCAGAAATTGTACCCAAAGTTTTCTGTATAAAACTTGCCAGCAAATCTCTTCTGGAGTCTCCTAAAATGTGTAAGAATCATATGACTCAATGACTTTTTAGGTAGCTGTGACACAAAAGTCTCTTTGCCCCTGGGCAGAATTGCTGCAGTGCACAAATTAGTCTCCCCGCAGCCTCTGGCTTTCACAGGTTGTCACAGATGGGAAGCACCTGGACATCAGGATCCTCCCACATCTCGAAGGTCAGTATTTTGCTCCAGTGATGGTTTGCTTGGTTTTTCCAGAGGCCCTTTGAAAGGAGGCAAAGAGGAACCCACCCTGGAGCTCAGCAGATGGGCTTGAAATATCTGCAGAGTGAGATGATCCAGGTTCAGTTCACGGCTGAACTACGAGCACTCCCTTAGCTTTCCATCTGCTCGGGACAGGCGTTTCCATGCTGTCCATGTCTGGGGAGAAGGAGGAGGTCACAGTGCAGGGTTCTGCAGAGATCTGAGTCCAGAGGGGGACAGAGGAAGAGTGGGCAGGAGCACACGTGATAGGAAAGAGCACAGCC